GAGATATGTGTCTGTGTGCTCATGTGACAAGATGGGGTATAAATAATCACAGTCACTGTTTCTCTTAATTAAAAAATGCATATATTATGCTATTAAAATTTATTTTCATGTTCAATCTCTAAATAATGACTACAGTTGAGTACACTGTATTTTCCAAAGCAAGAGTCTAAAGTTAGCACAGTTTTTCACATTTAAAAGAGGAGAAAATTATAAAATGTGTTACAGGAAATAATGAATTGTGTTTTAACAGTGGTTTCAAAAGTAGTGGTTAATTTGCTGAACAAGTATTTACAAAGCACCTACTATGTGCCTGACTCTGGACAACCTTGAGGCTGACAGGAAGGCCCCAGTTCCTGGTCCACAATGCTGACAGCCCATAGCACCTCTGTCACCACACAGTGAGAAGGGCTGAGGCCGGTTCCCACGAGGTATGTGGAACACACATGGGAGGCTGTACTTAACCCTGTCTGGGCAGAGGATCAAGGAGGGCTTCTCAAAGAGAACTTTAATTACTGCAATATTCAACTGGTCATTTATATCCACAGTTAAAAATGTTTAAGGTAGCTCAGTCTCTAACCAGGTCTCTACAGACAGAATCTTTTAATTTTCATATTCTTGAAATTATCCATCCATTAAACTTTGCAATGTAAGAAGGTGGGAATGAACTGTTAAAAAGTAGTTTATTTGAGCAAAAGTAGATTTGAATCAGGCAGCACCAAACTAGAAGAGGCTAGGACTGCTCTACCCATAGGATGAGCCCAAGGAGAGATTTTATAAAGAAAAGGCAGAAGCAAAGTAGGGAAATTATCAATTGGCTATAGCTAACCAAATGATATATGTATAGGCATGTTTTCCTTCTTTTTGTTTTCCAGTTATAAGAGAAAGTTTATTTAGAAAGTTGCAGAGGTGGTAGAAGTGAGCCAGCTGGGCTGCAGAGGCTCAGGAAACAAGTTACCTTGGAGCTTAAGAGAGGGAAAGACAAAGGTAATGCATCTGGAGAGGGCATGCTCCCAAGAGGGAGAGTACCTGCATGCTTTCTAACTGAGCATGTGCAGGAATGTCTACACCTATACATGTGATGAGGAAGCTCACCTCAATATTTATGCATGAATTCCCCTGAATAAAGATGAATCTGATCTTTTGTTTGGGACAAACCATTTTGGGAAAGCCACACACACGCGCGCACACACACACACGTCTTGTCTGTCAGGTCACAATACAGTACTCTTCCTTCTTCTAAAATCTTCTGAGCTGTCTTTTGGCTGGCAACTACTGAGTCATTGGACCCGGCTCAATCTGGTAACAGAACCTTCAAAACTGGAACTAAATTTTAACTTCTTTTGAGGCAGGATAGTAAGAAGCTAGCAAAATTCCTTGGCAAATGGAATGGGGAAACCAAGACAGTTAAACAAGGCCAACCAATTTTCAGCCATCCAACAAATCACAAGGTCTTACTTTCCCTAACCAAGGACACTTAGAAGCAAATGGTTTACACATCGTAGACCATCAAGGGGCAGACTCGCCTCAGTCCTGGTCCCTTTCCAGTGACACTCTGAGCCTTCCCTTGTTGATATTTAAAACTTCTCAACTTCCAACATTCCTTTTTCTACTTTCATCAGAGCTCTTATCACTCTGCTGTAATTATCACTCTCCTGTCTGTTACCTGAACTATACTATGAATGCTTAGAGGGCAGGAACTTGCCCTTTTTTCCTTTGCATTCTGCTGCCAGGTAATTTAACATATACTGAAAGGTCAAAAATGCTGAGAGGAAAGTCAAACAATGTTTTAGTTCTGAATAAATATGATATGGCTCCAAGTATTGCCTCTTGTCCTTTCATCCCTGAGACAAGTCAGTTTGTAAACAATCACCTTGAATGTAGTTCTGAAGTCTGCACAAAAAGCAAAAGACAGATGTAGAAAAAATATCCTTGGCTATAGAAGTGCATTCTAATTTCTACTAAAGCAGCCAAAAATCTTATCAGTTTGCTGTGCCCTCACGACTCACTGCTGACTCAGGGGAAACATATAGTCAATTAACCATGAGGTTGATTAATTAAATTAATTACAGCTTCCTCATTCATTCTGTACTTGCTTATTTTTGTAAATACCCATATGTAGGACTTGACATTTTTTTTTCAGGTTAAATGTCATCTTGTTAAAGAAAAAGAGGAGGAAGGTCAATGTTGAACACAAACAATTCCTACTGTTAAAAAGAAAACCATAGGCCCAAAATGGCGTCGCTCTTGCTGAAAAGCCCATGATAGCAACCTAGATTTAATACCTGATCTAATTGCAGTTTCAACACTCCCAGAAACGTAATCTTAATCAGCCTGAAATTTTCTGGTCAACACCAATGAAGTAATCTGTTCTGTGGGCTCTCTCCTCTCCCCTACCTTATAGAAACAGTCAATTTGCATGATAAAACACTTCCTCCAAGAAAAGTTATCCTTGCCCAAGAATAATCTTTTTTTTTCTTTTGTTAATGACTCGCCTGACCTATTCTACCTCCCATAAAGACCTTGCACTTTATACAACCTTTAAGGGCACTTTGAATGTCTAGATGGGACTATGACCCATATTTTTTTTCAGATTTTATTTATTCTTAGAGAGGGGTGAAGGGAGGGAGAAAGAGAAATATCAATGTGCAAGAGAAACATCAATTGGCTGCCTTTCTCATGCCCCCAACTGGGTACCTTGGCAGCAACCCAGGAATGTGCCTTGGCTAGGAATCAAACCTGGGATATTTCAGTTTGCAGGCTGGCACTCAGTGCACTGAGCCACACCAGGACTCATGAATCTCTTAATAAAACCAATCAGATCTTGAAATTTACTTAGCTGAATTTTGTTTTTTAAATACCACCATTTATTAAATTATAAATAGCTACTTATATTATGTGCATCACTTCATTTGATCTTCATAGCCCTAGGCATTATTATTATCTTTATTCTAGATTTGAATATGAGGCTTGGAGAATATATGTAGCTTGCCCAAGATCAGAGCTGGAAAATGGAGAGAGATCCATCAGTCTCCAAAACTTATGCTCTTAACCACAGCACTACACTGCTTACTTAAGTGGGGGAGGGGTGGTGCCAGAACGTGGGGACATCTTCTGGAAATGACAGCAAAGCTGTAGAAGAGATACTTCTCTAGAGCAATGATGCCTACCTCTAGAAAGAAGAATTTGCTTCTTACAGAAGAGTTCAAGGGATCTGAATGTCCTTTGAGTAAGACCAACAACAACCTCTTTATTTTGAAGACAAAAATGGCATACATAAATTAAGGGACTTGCCAGGTTCCCAGAATTAATTTGGAAATTTGCCAGGATTTCAAAGCTGATCTGGGGCTAGAACTCAGTGCACAGATTCTTTCAGTCCTGATCCCCACCTTCTCTCACTGCCTCCAATTCAGTCTGGAGCAGAATTAAATCTAAAAATATTACCAACTGGGAAAAAATTAACTATACGTTTAAAATAAGGCTCCAAAGAAATGTCCTTTATAATGCACTGACAGAATTAATAAGACATGTCACATACTGTAACATTATGGCATAACAAAATGAATACATGAATTTTCAAGCCAAAAAGCCATCTGAATGCAGAAATCTTGAAACCTTAAAATATTCCTACCTTAATACTATTATTATCAAGGTTCCATGAAGTTATTTTATAACTTACATGAACTTCAATTACATTTGGCCTCTGTCAACCAGAACTTCAGATTTCTAAGGCATTCACTCCACTGGGTAGAGATTTCACACAAGGAGAGGCCTAACAGCTGATATTTTGTTAATATTTTGTTGATTCTATAATTTAAACATATCTTTACCCACAAAATGCAAAAATATTGAAATTCAACAGAGTCCCAACTTTTGCAGTTTGAAAAAATAATAAGCAGTCTACCAGACCACTTCATGGGCAGTTTCCCTTTCACCTCCAATTCTTCACTCTGCTTACAGGAAATACGACTGGTGCATTTTAATATTGAAGGAACTAAAGGAAGGCTAAGGAACAAGTCACAACACCAAATTAACCACAAGTATTTTCAGGGCAACAGTGATTGCATTCTTCTCCCCAGGTCCAGAGTAACAGCACAGTGTAAGATGGGCTGGGGAAGGAAGTGGGGGAGGTAGGAAAGATGATAAAAGGAATCCTTTCTAAACCCTTTCTTCAGGTAAAAATATTCCCAAAAGGCAACTTAGTCTCCAGTAGGTGACCTTGATCTCATTTAGCATAAAACTCCGAGAGGCAGGAAGAAAAAGTTAAGATTGCTGTACTGCAACCTTCTCTTTACATCTTAAATATTTAGGTGCGCGCGCGCGCGCACACACACACACACACACACACACACACACACACACACACACAGAAAAGCTCTAATGCATGAGGGTAGAATAAGGAAGCACGGGTTGCAAAGGCAGTATTCCTAGTATTTCACCTTTTCCATATTTTCGTCAGTGCAGACATCCCCTTCCCCTTTTATTTTCCTGCCCCTTGTCCAACTTTACAGGTGATAAAAGTCCTGTATCCACATTCTTTATTGCTGGCTCAACTGCAGGTGCGTTGGAAAAAAGTTTTTGCCTGATGCCTCTTCCCGGACAGCCCCCAATCTGTCACACCTACTCTGCTCACGGCCGCCGGATGCTTTCCTAGCTACAGAAATCAACTGGAGTCAATTTAATGGACGCCAGTTCCTTAGCAGTCCGATTTCCCGAGTCTCCACAAACTGTCCTAAGAGAATGGCAGGTCTCTAAAAGTCTCGGAGAACCGGCTCCTCCCAGGACTACAGGTAGGAATACTGAGGCCTTCACCAACAACCCCCGCCCCCAACACACACACACACACACACACACACACACACACACGAAAGGGCCGATTTGACAGATCCTTGGCTTCGGTCACTACTGCTGCGACATCTGAACAACAGTTTGAAGAGATCATTTTCCACGTGCAAAAACTTGGAGCAAAAGAAGAGGATGTACTAACTGCTACGCACTCTCACCTTCTTTCCCCGCCCCAGTATCCAAACACCCGCCAGCAGGGGCTCTGAGAGCGGCAGCCCAGCCGGAAGACCCACCGCTTGGGACCAGAAGCCTTAGCCGAGACCGGGGGCACCTGCAGTGCAGCCGAGCAGCCGAGGCCCAGCAGCCTGACAGTGGACGGTGGGACTGCCCTTCTGGACTGCCGGCCGCGCCCAGGCCACACCCCATCCCCCCAAGGATCCTCCCCTCCCAACCCCTGTTCCAGGCGGGCTCGGGCTCCCTCTGTCCCCACCCTGCCGCCTGCCTGCGGATCCGCGCCCCGCCCTGTGGTCCGGCTGCTCCCTCCCTCTGTTACTGGCCGAGGCTGGAACAGTCTCACCCACAGCCTTGAAGGTGCCCTGTCCTTCCAGTGCTGGAGAGAGTTCGAATTAAGATGAAAAAATTCATGGTAGGCCAGGTGAGGTGGCAGAGACTGGTCCCCCCAAGATTTTCAATAAGGGATGAGAAGAGTGCCCCCCTCAAAACTGCATCCTCCTGCAGGGAAGAGTGAGATTCGAGGTACTATCTAGAATGGGTGGAACATTCAACATGGAAACCAGCGTCCTGACGGGCTTCGAGTGGCCCCAAACCCACAACTGGCTGGGTAGTTAAGAGAAATGGGAGGGACAATTTGTTTTTCCTCAGGTTTCTCAGTTATTTTACTTTACCCTCAAACCCTCTGGGCAACTTAGTCATGGATTCCTGAAGCAGATGGGGAGAGACTTTTTAATTACTCCATGTTCACAGATACCTGGCTTCCCAAATTCTAAGGATATTTGGCCACGCACGAGTTTTAGGTCAGCTCTGAGGTCAGAGTTCACATATCTTGGATCTTCCTTCTAGTGTGAAATCCCTCATACTAGGACACTCCTCTCACCCTCACCATCCTCTGTGACCCATTAGCTCCTATTCGGGGTTCATCTGGACCTTCACTTTCCCCAGGTTAGGTGCTCCTGCAGGTGACTCAAGATTCCTCACTTCCCCTGCCACAACACGAGCCACAACTCAGTGAAATTGTTGGTGGCATTGGCTTCCCTGCTTGACTGTCAGCTCAATCAAGTAGTGAATACATATTAAACGTTGTTGAATGATAACATGCATGTGACAGACCATGAAGGCACCTCCTGGCCCCAGTTCTTTAAGGAACTTCTCTCATCTCTCTTTACCTTATAAGTTTATAGGATGTTATTCCAAAGTTAATATTTCCATCTCCTCCTCATCCCCAAGTCTTCATCCTACCTCTTGAGCACAGTCTTCATTTTTTGTAGAGGTGCAGATATGGTAAGAGCCTGGGACTTGGTTCCTCTTGTCTGAACTCTGTAATAACTAGCTCTGTGGTCTTAAAGGCCCTCAATCTCTCTGCATCTCAGATTATGGCCTTGGATACTTTTAGGGCCCACAAAAAATGTAAAGAAAGGACAAAAAAACTTTAGGCTGAAGAAAGTTATATAATATTATTTGGTCTGTATACCAATGCAGTTCTTGACAATGTTCAACTTTACTGAAACCCTGTAATCTTAGAAAACAGTAGAGTTAAAGAAATCTTCCTACTCCTTTGTATTTGGAAAATGGTTTACTACAAGGAATCCTCCTTCCTGAAATGACTTACAAAAGACTTACCGATAAGACTCACCTTGCTTATCTATGGTAAACTATACACAGACCCTTCAAGTCCCCCTCCCCAGTCTGTGGTCTCATTCCTATCTGTAAAGTGGAGAAATTGGATTAGATAGGCCTAGGTCTTTTTTGCTCCAAAACTAATGAATTCTGAAGCAGAGTTTCCAAAGAAAAGCAAGTCAGACGTTACAGACCTCAACAGGAAGAGCAAGCTGGCAGCTGAGAGCCAAACAGGGCACTTGCAGGTGTTTTTGTTTAGCTAGCCTGGCATTGTCGTTGCTGTTAGTTTTTCGAGTTGCATTTGACTGTTACAGGCCTTACCACTCCTTATAGTCTTCACCATGTTTAGTGCCTGTTTGGCCACTGAAGGCATTTAGTTTATGTTCCAAGAATACTCTTGTGCTCTCAGAAAAGTGCCTTGAATTGCAAAAGTGCCTTCTTCCTTTCCTCCCACCTCCTCAATAGGGATAGGCAGGCAATGATGTCTGTTAATCTCTTTACAATAGGATTCCGGTATTTGAACAAATGGACAAATATTTCATTTATAGTTGAAATGCATTTCTTTGGTGATAAGATGCTGTCCAATGTAACCCTCTCTCCTCTTTAAGCATTAAAGATTTTTACCAGATAAAATAAATACCCCTGTGGTGCATGTGGTAATTTAACTCCAACTCTCTGACACAGTATAATGCAAAAATGAATAGAAAAACAATATGTAAGGAAATGAATTTGGTCAATTCTGGGAACAAATTAAAAATAACTTGGGATGGTTTTGATACATGTCAAAAATTCCATGACACTCCTCCCTTTAGTGAAGCCTAATTTCCCTCCTTTTGGGTGTGGGCTATTCTTAGTAACTGGCTTCTAACAAATAAAATGTTAGGAAAGATGGGTAGTCACACCTACATCATGAATGACATTGTGACTTCCATTTTACTCACTCTTGGATTACTCTCCCTGGAGGAGGCCAACTAATGTGTTGTTACAGCACTGAAGTAGCTCTATAGAGTGGCCCATGTGGTTAGGAATTGAAGCCTGTTGCCAATAGCTATTATGGAACTGAGGCCACCTTGTGTGAAGATACCATTATGAAAATGGATCCCCCAATCCTAGCTGACACCTTCACTGTAACCTCATAAGAGACCCTATATCATCACCACACAGTTCAGCCACTCTTGAATCCCTTACCCACAGATACTCTGCTATGTAATAAATGTTGTGGTGATTTGTCCCACGGCAATAAAAAACTAACACAAAGCTTATTTAAGAAACTTCTCTGATGATGTTGGGTTAAAGATGATAATGCTAATAAAATATCAGGCATCTTTAGAATTTTCTGCATTGTAATGTTTTTTTTATATATCTTCCAAAACCCTTCTGATAGCCTGAACTATGTGAACATTTATCATTCTTCTGAATTACCTAGTCTTTGCCCTTGTTTCTTATATTTATAAAATCCTCACTCTTTTTATGAGACAGAGCCTATGTCTTCCTGGAGAAACTGCAAAACAGTGCCATTGCTTAGTATGTGATACTCCAGTGCACACAGGACTCGGGACATGTTCTAGGTTGTGCCAATCAGAGTCACAGCCCCAGACAAAATGTCTGGTGAGGGAAGTGGCAGCACCACACCCACATCTGGTTTCCAGAGGCAGCAATCTAATGCTTCTACCAGCTGCCTCCAACCACTAGCAGCAGGGGTATCAGTGTCTGCCCAGTGCTGGTGGAGTGATGCCTCCATGGCTTTGGACTTTGTCTTGACTACATAACATCCTATCTTAGCTTTTCATTTCTATAGAGAGATCCAATATTCTTGTATGAAACATCCTTTTGTATTTAGGTTAGCAAATATTACTTTCTTTTGCATACAACTAAAAACTCTGTCTGCAAGAGGCAGATACTATCTCCATTTTAAAGGTGAGAACACTGAGAACCAAAGTTGTTAAATGATGTGTCACTAGATACAATAGCAAGTGGTAGAATTGGAATACATCAGTTAGTTCAGATTGAGCTAAGAAAACATTTAACTTTAGCATTTAAAAAACAAAGGGTTTACATACTCTAAAAAATTAATTATGTTTTTCTTTAAACCAGAAGAAATGCTGATTTTTCTACCCTGACCCACATATTAAATGTCAACCTTATGACATTTAACCCCTACTGTTTCAGGATGAACCACACTCTTCCAACCTTGATTTTGCACAAATACTCCTTCCTGCAGAAACTTTCCTCTGCCCATCACTGCCTCCTATCCATTTTAATCAATTTGGCCCTTCTTCAAAGCCAAGATTTAGTGATAGCTTCTCTCTGCAGCTTCTCTGAGCCCTCAGAAATTATTCTCACCCACTCCTCATGCTCTCCTAGTATTCAGTTCCTATTTGTGGTAAGATAATTACTAAGCTTGCTTACCTGTTTTGACAACCCCACCTCATCCCAACAAAAGAAACAGAAAAACTCCAGACTCTGCCCGGCTAATGGAAGGTGTCCTAAAAACTAAGGGGCTAAGACGAAGTTTACTTTTGAACAAGGACCTCAGGCTTTAATTTCATCAACTGTAAGAATGCTGAAAAATAAGCATATAAGTCTATGCAGCATAGTGGAGACATTTTCTGAAAAGAAAATAGAATGATTCTAGAAAAAGTCCTTAAGAAAATGACATTTTCAAGTTTCTCAGGTAAATGGGTGAGTACCCATCTGACTGTCAAGGTCACTACTTGACAAGTCCAGTCCTCCTCCACTAACAGTGTCCATTCAAATTTTAGTACCTCACGTTCACAGTTTAGTAAGAAATAAAGGATCACCAGAATTATGTGGAAACCCTCCATGTGAAAAAGATTGAAGCATATCAATTAGAAAAGGGAAAAGGAAAAAACAGATAATTCAGGGTGCAGAATAAAATCTGAAATAAGAAAGCATTCCTTATTACAGGGATAACAGAAGCTGAATCCGTAAAATAAGATTAAGGCGCTATGTGTTTTAAAAAGAAATAAACGAAGACTGATAAAGTACTATTGAATTAAAACAATGCTAAAATGTATACATTTCAATAGAAATACTAAAGAAATGAAATCAAGGCCATCTGTATGAAAGTAAAAAAGATGAAAAATTAACAGTGGAAAGAAAAGAAAACTAGATCAGTCCTAGAGTTCAGACACCTTACCAACCATTCCCCTAAAAGAGAACAGAGAAAAAGGCAGAGTGTAAATGACTAACCAAAAAAATAACAGAAGAAAATCTAATAAAAAAGAAAAAGGACATGAATTACTAGGTGGAAAGAATCTGCTGAGCACTCAAATGAAAATACAAATGAAGCCTTGTAGGCAAATGTTCATTGCAGCTTTATTTATAACCAGAAATAAATGTTCTTCAACTACTGAGTGTACAACTCTAACATATCCAGATGTGCACCATAGGGAAGACTCAATATTTTAAAAGTGTTCCCCAAATAATCTATATAATCAAAGCAATCCAAATCAAAATTATGTAAGAAATTTTTATCCAAATTGACAAACTGATTGTAAAATTATATGAAAAA